AAGTTTCCGCGGAGATGATGGCCCGCCGTGAACGGTTCGTGCCTATTTATGTAGAGTTTGAGGATGCGCAACGGGCGAATGGCGACTATCGCGAATGCCGGGGTGTAGTTGGCGGTTTGCATCTCACCCAACATCCGGACTACTCGTATGAGTCGGTGTCTGCGAAACAGAAAGCGCGCTTGGCTAAAAGAGAGAGGAAAAGGCCGAGTCTGTTAACCCCGGGGCGCAGATGTGGGCTCAGTGGGATCCTATCGTGGTGTCGCCGGATTCAGTTGAAATCGGGCCTGAGATTCCGGACGCGAGTGGTGAAATCGATCAACCGTGGTTTGATACTAATGTTGGCCATAGCTCGGCCTCCGTGTTTGATGATTTTGATGTATGATGTTGTTCTTTTCTGATTTTGCTGCTTTCCGGGATTGGTCGTTGGTGGCTTTGAATCCCTGCCGCTGGGCGGCGTGTATTTGAATGAAAAATTTTAATAAATTTTTTTTCTAAGTATGAAATCTGTGTTTCATTTTAGATGTAGATGGAAGAATACGAGTTGTCGTCTGGCATCTAACTCTTGGTGTAGATCGTCCGGTTCGTTTACTCGGAATGTTTTGATTTTCGCGAGTGTTTAGATGTGGGCGAAGAGATATGCCTTTAGTTTCTTGATTCATGCCTTGAGACGTTAGAGACCAGTGTGCTGGGTTTAGGGCAAGACCTAGGTTTACTTTCGGATTGAGGTTATGCGATGACTAGTCGGCTTTTGTTTTGCCTGTTGCGATTTTAACCTGATTCCATACCGATTTAGAATCCGCGATAGGTTCTCGGCTTATACGATTCGTCTGGTTCGAACCGAGTATCTCACAGGAACAATTTCTAAGTTGCCCGGAAGTGATGACCAAAAATTTGGATTTCTTTTATAGCGCGCTATTTTATCCTAGTCGGATGTATGCAGTCCAATGGGTCAGTGCGTTTGTTTAGGATGGCTAGCGTGCTCGACAGGGCCAATCGCCGAGCGTTTGTATTTTTATAGTCGCGGACAGAATTTTGTGAAATGTTTTTCTTAAGACTTTAGGCGACGTCTCGCCGGTTCTTTCCGAAAATATTTTGGTGTACAAGTTTCGTAGAAACTATTAAGTGTAGTTGTTACTGCGGAAATAATTCCGGATGTTTTGAATTTTTTTTTTTTTGCATTTTCGATAGTAGAAGAGATTTTATAATATTCTAACTTTGTCTTTATTAAAGAGTTTCGAAAATTTTAATCACAAAGCGAATGTTTTAAAATCCTGGAGTATACGAATACTCGTATACGCACCCACTCCCCATCCCCCCATGTTTCGGAAAGGGGGATAGCTGAACTCATCTTTAGGCGAGCTTCCTACGTATTCCTTTCGGAAATCAGGCCATCTCGTAGTTCTGATTGTTTGTGCGAGTATGTTTACTCGGCTGTCGCAGACTCTTTGATCACTTTATTCGCTGGATCGGTGTCTTGGTCCGGGTTTTCCTCCAGTTGGGTAGAAGTTGGTTAGCATCGTTACCTTTCTCGTCTTGCCTTCGTCCGCGTTTTTCGCCTGACTGGTTCCCTTGGGGCGGAGTTTCCGCTTGCGAGTTCCTGTCATTTTTCGGAGGGCGATCTGAATCGCGGATGAGATCTTTGAAGCTGGTTATCTTGGAGAGTTCTCCTGTAATCAGTTTTGCGGTGAGTCTGGCGCCGAGGACTTTGAAGTTCAAGGTAGAGTGCCCACAGGTTTGGCGGAGTTAACAGTGCAGTTGTGCGCTCCTTGGAGATCATGTCCCTCGTGATGGACGAATTTGTCATTACGAGAGTTTTTATTTTTCAGCTTCTGCTCGGACGCGACATCCTTTGCGGATGCTTTTGTCGGCTTATGCTTTTCGGATTGGATTTTAGTCTCCTCTTCTATGGTTATGTAATTGGTAGCTTTGTGGAGCACGTCCTGGATCATCCGCGGTTTTTCGAGAGTTATCCACTTTCGAAAATTCGACTTGAACCAGAGCGATTTTCTGAGTGTGTCGATGGCGGCTTTGTCGCTTATTCCGCTAACCCTAGCCATGACGAGTTTGAACCTGCTCATGAAATCACGAAGGGATTCGTCTTCCTTCTGCGACAAGCTCCAGAGATCAGCGTCTGAGGTTTCCCGATTTATAAACATCGAGTACTGCTTCAGGAATTCGGAAGCAAGCCGGCGGAAGCTCCCGATTGAGTTTCGCTTGATTTTGGCGAACCATTCGAGCGCTGCTCCTTCTAGGTTTTCGACGAAAAGACGACAGTAGCCTGCATCTTTTTCGTGATCCTTGAGCTTGGCTCGTCCCATGGTGATCTGGAAGGCATGTGGGTGCGCTTTGGGATCAGTCATCCCGTCGTAGGTTGGCAACTTGAGTTTCCCTGGATCAGGTAACTTGACCTCGGTGATGCGAGCCGTAAAAAGCGTTTTCCAAGATTCGTACAGTAGCCGATCGATTTCGGGTGCGGCGCTGGTAGCATGGTGAATCTGAGATTTCACCGCTTTTACCGCTGCGGCCGTTTTGTTAATGTACTAGCGGAGATCGCAAATCTCTGTTAGTTCGCCAGCAATTTTCCGACCTCTTCGGCGTTTGCTGCGAGTAAGCGGAAATCGTTCCTCGGCTGTTTTCGCGCATTGCGCAAAATAGAGCTCCTCTTCGTCTCCAGTAAGAGAACGTTCGGGAGAAGACTCTGGCAGAGAGCTGCGAGTTTTTCTTCTCCTAGGATGGACGTCCTTGTCCTCCTCTGACGAGTCGGCTTGGTCGCTTGTTTCCAGGTTAACCCTTTCGATGCCGTCTCCCTCGGTCTACTGTTCACGAGTAGGAGATTTTTCCGATTCGTTTAGCATCGCTTCAGGTTTATCTTTTTCGGAGTCTTTCTCCGTCTGGTTTCCCTGCTTGGTTCTGGGGCGATCCATAGGAGTCTCGAAATCGAGCCTCCTTCCGTGGATCTTAGTAGTTCCGCGGGGGCGAATCGCTATGGTTTTCGCAGTTAGGGTTTCGACAGTCTCGGCGTTAGCGTTCGTAGCGATGGCCGCGGACACATCTTGCAGTGGTGTATTGTCAACGTTGTCGCTTTCGCGAGTTTGTTGTTCTTCTGTCATCGTTTCTCGATTGAGCGTGCTGCGACTTTAGTATAAGATAGATCCGACCCCCCCTCCTTCTAGCCAGAACTGTGTAAACCGAAATTCACCTACTGTCAAGAAATCGTAAATAAGGGAACTTTGAGTAAACCCTAAGTTCCCAGAGGACCCGGCTATCTGCGGAAGCACAAGAACAATCAAGACAACAATGAATACGAAATAAGAGTATGAACAAACGAGATTGAGAGAAAGAATGATCTTATTCCGAATATGCGTAAGAACGGTTACAACAGGAGTAGTCTTAGCTGCGTGAGCCGTCGGCGAGATTCCTAACCCTAGCAATCTTAAGACTAAACCCTAGTTGAGACGCAGCTCGATAACAAAAACGGAAATATTTTTAAAAGCTAAGTTTGGTGGTGAAAGCTCTGAAAACTCGTCCCATGCTTCTGTCCTATGCCTCTTGCTTATATACTCCCTTCCTTGGCGGTTTGGTCCTTCCATTTCGCTCAGATTCGAGTTTATCGAGAATCTTCCATTTATTTCGATTTTTCCTTTTTCCCGCGGCAATCTTCTACTTATCTTCAAACTTGACATATATCTTCAAATTTGACATTTATCTTCTTTCCGTGAGTAAATCGTCAAAACGTCGTCGTATCTTTGGGTGAGACTTCGTCAAAGTCGCAAGATAGGCTTTTACCGCGTTTTAGGTCTTTTCGAGCCGTTTTGCGATAAAACCGTTTTACGACTTTATATGAGATCGTTTCCTGATGCGATGCCGTCTTTAAATAAGTTTCTCGAGTTAATCGTAAAGTTTGGCAATGTTCGATGTTTTGTTTAACCGTTGCTGTTTTCTACGATTCACTCCAAGTTTTATTTTAAAAAATGCGTTTTTTACGATTTCTCACGAAAAATCTCGAGTAAATCGTATAGTTTAGGAAATGTTTGGTGTTTCGTTTAACCGTTGCCGTTTTATACGATTTCCTTGAGTTCTTTCGAGAAAACAAGACTTTACGGTTTTTATCGTAAAACTTGAACGATAGGACGGATCGAGACGAAACGAGAGACATTTCGACCGTGGTTGTCGTGCTGAAGGAATTAGGCCCTGAATCGAGGACGTGGGAGATCGAGGCTCGGGATAATTAGCTCGACGTACGACGAACCAAACCGAAACGGTTCAGCTCGCCGTACGGCGAGCTATACGGGACGCCCCTAGCTCGCCGTAAGGCGAGCTAGTCTTGGTCGAGATAGTTTGCCTTACGGCAAGCTAGCTCGAGGCCACTTATATCGCCGTACGGCGAGCTAGTTCGGCCGAACCAGCTCGCGGTTTATGGCGGATGCGGTTTTTTGCGGTTTTGTGCTTAACTTGGAGGATCGTGTAATCGGCGTTTGTTTCGTTCTTTCGAGATAACGATTTCCGAGTTTCCCGTGGATTTCCTTTGTTCGGAAACTTATTAGAATTTATAAAACGACTTCTCGAGTTTTATAAAACGACTTCTCGAGTTTTATAAAATGACTTCTCGAATTTTATAAAACGACTTCTCGAATTCTATAAAACGACTTCTCGAGTTTTATGAAATGATTCCTCGAGTTTTATAAAACAGCTTGGTGAGTTTTATAAATCGTATTTAGTATTTTTTACGGAAAGTTTTGGCTTTTGATTCCGTCGTACCGATGGAGCAAGTTTTGTTGGTGTGTGAAAACAATAATCATGGCGAAGCACCACCAAACAAACCAGGACGAACAAATGGATAATCAGACAGATCCAAGCCTCAAAAGCTAGATCAGTCAGTGGATATGCGGAGTCTCCTGATGCTCACATGAAACTTCCTATTACTTTCTTATGTTACATCTGTTGGTTGACTAAAGTTATCTCTCTCACCCTCTTTTTGTTACTCGATCTTTGATCAATTCATGGATCCTATTCTGCAAGCACCCGCTGATGGGTTCAAATTTGACAACAGCTCCGGATATTGCTGCGAACCAAGGAACAGTCTTGATTCTGGAACTAGTCGTTTCACATGTTTCTACGAATCCAAGAACTCTTCTCCGACCGAATCTACTGAGTCTCAGAACCCTTCTCTGACCGAATCTACGAACTGTTCAGAGTACCATTTTTTTTTGAAATACATCAATGACATGTTAGTGGAAGAAGATTTTGAAGGACAGTCTTGTATGTTGGAAAACAGTTTGGCTTTACTAGCCGCAGAGGCATCTTTCTTCGAAGTGCTTCAGGAGGGTCAAACTCCTCCGTCAATGACGAGCTTACTTCAACCAACCTCAGATTTCACAGCATTGCCTGATATCTCAGAAGAATCAACAAGAGCTACCGCCTACGAGATGATGAGGAAGAAGATGTTCCTAAAGGTGGAAGGAAATCAAAGCTCCCTGCAATTTCAAAGGTGTATGTGAAGATAAAAAGATTTAGAGGAAGAACAAAGAATGAGAGATTTTGAAATTGAGAGAGAGAGAAAGTAGATCTGGAAAGAATTCTCTTTTTCTCATTATCTTTTAGTATCAGGTACATGTCGTTAACTTGACTAACAAGTGGATTAGGAAAAATAACAAAACAAATAGGAGAGAGAGAGGGATCTGAGCGTGTTTATAAAATCCTTATAAAGCCTTATAATACCTTATAAGTCCCTAGCTTAATAAAACCTTATAAAGCTTTATAAAACTTAATTTATAAGTCTCTAACTTAATTCTCAAGTCTGACAGTGTACTTCTCAAGTCTAGCAGTTTAATTTGCTTCATGTCAACAGGATTAGCTAGCAGAAAAGATGGAAAAAGTTTTGTTGGTGTGTTAAAACAATAATCATGGAGAAGCAACAACAAACAAACCAGGACAAGCAAATGGATCATCAGACATATCCAAGCCTCAAAATCTAGATCAGTCAGTGGATATGCGGAGTCTCCTGATGCAATGCGCTCAAGCAGTAGCTGCTTTGACCATAAAAGAGCAGCTGAGAAACTGGAGGATATAAGAGCACATTCTTATAGCCACGGTGACGCAACTCAGAGACTTGGTTACCATTTTGCTGAGGCTCTTGAAGCACATATCACTGGAATCATGAAGACACCACTATCTGCTACATTTAGCGAAACATCGATGTTTGACATTTTGACGGCCTACAAGGAGTTTGTTCAGGCTTGTCCGACCTTAATAATGTGTTATTACACTGAAAATATAACAAACATTGAGCTTGCGTCCAAAGCAACCACACTTCACATCATTGACTTTGGTGTTCTCTATGGATTTTAGTGGCCTTGTCTGATAAAATCCCTGTCAAGACATCCCGGTGGACCACCAACGCTCCGTGTGACCGGAATTGAGCTGCCTCAGCTAGGATTCCGTCCATCAGAGAGGCTTGAAGAGACCGGGCGAAGGCTGAAGCGGTTCTGTGACAAGTTCAACGTCCCATTTGAGTACAACTTCATAGCCAAGAATTAGGAGTCCATAACTCTTAATGAGCTGGTCATCAATTGTGGTGAGACAACATCTCTCAACTGCATCCTTCGGCTGCAATACACGCCTAATGAATCCGTGTCCCTAGACTCTCCAAGAGACACAGTTCTGAAACTGTTCAGAGATATAAATCCTGACCTCTTGGTGTTTGTAGAGATACATGGGATGTACAACTCACCCTTCTTCCTAACAAGGTTTAGAGAAGCTATGTTCCATTGCTCGTCGCTCTTTGACATGTTTGAGACCACCATATCAGAAGAGAACGATTGTAGAACCCTGGTGGAGATGATATCTTGCATATTTAATAGTTTTAAACTTTCTTTTTATGTTCATTTCAATCACTTAGATTGCATTTAGAGTCCCTTTAGGTGCAATAGCATATGCATGTTTGGTATTTCAGGTATAGAGAAGTTCATGATGAAGATTAAAGAGTTTGGTCAAAGGAAAGGGACACACCAAGGAGGTCGACCGCCGGCCACCACACGCGGGCACCGACAGTCCGCGGAAACCAACCCGAGAAGGAACTTTTTCGGGGCCGCACGCGGACACGTCCCGCGGACCACGCCTGGCCGCGCCTCCTGTCCTTGTCACGCACACGGCCAAGTACGCGGACCAACCCCGGGCCGCGTTTTCGTGCCCGAGAACGGCTTTCTCTTCAACCATCACCCGCGGCCGTGTCACGCGGGTACGAGCAGGCTGCGCCATTCCACTAGCTGTGTACCGCGGCCTCCACACGCTGGTGAGCACCAAGCCGTGTTTTCAAGCCCGAGGAAGCCGTTTTCTCGACCTTATCACACGGCCACTTCCCGCGGGCAAAGCCAGTCTGCGGTGAGCATCGAAAGTAACCTTCCCATTAGTTGTTTGGGTCAAACCCGGGTTTTTCGGGTTGACCCGGTTTAAGTTTTAAGCTACTATAAATACAATTTAGACATTATCCTTAGGATTATCTTAATTTCTCTCCTAAACACTTGACATTTTGGTGAAAGTTTATTCCTTTAATCTAAGTTTCATCTTTTATCTTGTGTTCTTGAGATTTCTTAAGTGTATCATTGCTTTCTAATCATGATTAACCTTAAATCCTTCATAGGTTTAAGTGCAATCATGGTGATTAGTGAGTAGTCATCTTGGGATTCATGGGTTAGAAGATCAAAGGGTGGTTAAGCTAGATCTAAGGTGTTTAAGCATAGATTCATCTTGTTCCTTGCTTGTAGAGTGAATCTAATGCTATTTTAGAGTTGGCCTCTCCAGAATTGAGCTTTAGGTATTTCATGCCCTAAAGGTGTATGATGAAATACCTGAACCAACTCTCCAATGCTTTTAACATTCTTTACCAAAGAGATTTGTTGTTAAAGGTGTCATAATGGCTAGTAGACTTGATTTTAATGATTGTTTAGATAACATTCAACCTAAGAGATTAGATGCTTGAGTTATCTTTGCAAATGAACATTCATCCAGAGATAGAGTTTGTTTAGGATTGTGTCTACGCCTAAGGTTGATAGATAAATTGAAAAACTTACACCTTTTGATTGAAACTTGATCACCCTAGATCAATTCCCTTACCCCATGAATTCTCTCATCTCATTTTGAAAGAAAGCTTTGATCTTTATTGCTTATTTAGTAGTTTGTTACTTTAAAATCATCTCACTAATTGATAACACTTAGATCAAGCATGGTCTTGCAATTCCTTTGGTTTATGATCACTTAGAACTGGTTTTACATCCTTTATATTCAACATTTGATTAGGAACCTTAAAATATCTATCATCAAGAGAGGGGGGAGTTAATTCTAAGGAATGCGATGAGTGTGATCGCCTGTGAAGGGCCTGAGCGGTTTCCGAGGCCTGAGACCTATAAGCAATGGCAGGTTAGGATATTAAGAGCCGGGTTTAGGCCAGCGAAACTAAACAAACAGATCATGAAGGAAGGGAAGAAGTTAGTGAGAGAACGTTACCACAAAGATTTTGTAATCGACAATGACAACCACTGGATGGTTCAGGGCTGGAAAGGAAGAGTCATCTATGCTCTTTCCTGCTGGAAACATGCTAAGAAGCAATAATTTGCATTATTTTTGTTAGCTCTTCATATCTTTGTTTTTTTTGTTTCACAATATTTCTTTGTATAGAGACTGTTGGATTTTGCTATTATACATCTTTCTCTTTTCTTGAAAGTACATATGGCAACGAAGAATTCAAAACGAAGCTTGGAAAGAAATCCATAATTCATCAAACCATTAGCGATCAGTGTCTAATGATAGTTAATTAAGGTCTCTTCTCTTGGATTTTGACTATTGAAGAATTCATATTAAGAGACAAGCTGGGTATGTTGACCCGAGAAAAGATAAAGGCAGGTTAGGTTTGGCATCCACATTTGCCTCTCTCTCCTTCACTTGATTAATCTATCCAAATTTGTTGGTCAAAGATTCGTCTTATGTATCTTTAGATTATTGTATTAAATAAGGACGCCAAAAAGTTTATCCTTTCTACTAAGTAGTCCATTCCAAGGAAAAATCAAATCAAATAATCAAACAGTATATGAAATGAAAAATATTATATACATTCACACCCGCAATGTTTTTTTTCTTTTCACACCGCAGTTTGTCTCCTAGGATTTTGTTATGACTATGGCACTTTCGGAAAGTGACTTTCCATGTTGTCATGTAATATACTACTTTTAATTTATTTTTCTATAAATAGAGTAACTTCTTTTATAAAATAATTTATAATTTTATAGTATGGAAAATTTTAAATAAAGGTGAAATTTTGTACCCCTAAAATAGAATAATATTGATATTTTGATAGAGAGAATTTATTATATAGAAGGAGAAAGAAATAATGGTGCGAGTTACAAAAATCAAAATAGATTGTATATATAGAAGTAAGAAAGTAGAAATTACTGTGCATTCACAGTGATGCGGACTCCACATAATAAACGTATGTATTATATTGAATTATATTTGTATTAGTTGTAAAAAATATATGTTTGTATTAGTTGTAAAAAACATTATATTATGTTTCATAGGTTATTGGATTATGATGTCGGTGTATCTTGTTCATTTTGTTTAGCGTCGTTTTCTAACTATCAAGTTGTATTTTTTTGATATCGTACTTTTTTACTTGGTAAACTAAACAATTAAGTGTAAAATATTAGAGTATCTTGTTTAGATTGTGTATATTTTATTATATTATACTATAAATTTTGTGATTGCAATTATAATTTAAAAAATAGATTTTATAGCTATTTTTAAAAAATAAGTTATATAGACAGAAAAATTTTAAAAGATTCACAAAAAATAAGAGCTCTAAAAATTTTATAAAAAAAGGCCATTTTTAAAATTGAATTCGGCAATTTAGTTTTGGGCAATTTGGTTTTGAGCAGTTTGATTTTGATTTAAAATTAGTGTACCTTAAACCTATATTGAAGTTCATATAAAAGCAAAACTACAGTGTTTTAATTGCAACGGCATGCTATTGTAATTTTTAAGTGAAACTAAAGTTTATTTCTTTTTTTACTTTCCCTTTAATAGTTTAGGTTATATACTCTTTTCATTTCAAAATAATATATATTTTATAGTTCTCACACATATTAAGAAAAATATTAAATTTTTCTTATAGATGTATTGTTTTTTATTAATATTTGTACAACTTTTTTCAATATAAATCAATAACACAATTAATATGTTTTTGAAATTGATAGTTTACCATTTTTACCTAAGACGAAAACATTGACAATGTAAAAAAGTGTCTTTTTTAAACAAATAAGTATTTTAAATCATTGAGCTTTTTGAAACAAGGGAAATAAAGTAGTAAGTGACATTTAATATGTTGATAAAATATAAAGTCATTTAATATTTTATAGGTATTTGTGTAAATATCGGATAAATAAAATGGTAGTTCTAAATATATTTTTAATAGAGTAGATTTTAAAACTAAATTGCTACATAAAGTCGTAAACCTAACCGTCAGTTTTTTTAATTATAGTTTTTGGTTCAAAAATGTATTTTTTGTGGAAGTTCTTCTATTTTAGTAGTTTGACTAAAAATTCATTAATATGTATACAGTTAGAGGTCAAGTCTCGCAATAGATTTATTAAACATAATGGAAGTAAAAATAGCCTTACATAATTTTCATCGTGCAATTTAAAATGTTGCAATAATATAAAAACTTCATCAAATAATTAGAATTATTAATTATAAATCATTTATTAAAAATTTCATAATTATAATACCATAGTAGAATAGCGTTAAAAATTTACAAAACCAAAACCGGTTCGGTTGTGCACTAATAGTTTATCATATGAAAATTCAAGTTCTAAGTTAAATTTTTGACCAGGCAAGTGGCTGAAGAGAGAAGTCAGACCTTTTAGTTGGTGACCAAGCACCATAGCTTACTTGTTATGGTTTAAAAGTTTCTATATCCAAAGTCTAATGTTCGAATTTCAGATTATGCATTTTCATGTACATGACAGGAAATCCAGATCTCAAATCCCGGAGAGAGCAATTTATTAATGTAGACTACGGTAAAAGGATTTACAAAGAATCTTCAAAGTAATGCAAATAAATCTGGTCAAGAGTGGATCTTCATAGGATGACTCAAATGAAACAGTTAGATGTAGGTCATTATATGGTAGGTAGTATTATCGATTATCAAATCGTTTATGTAATCTTTCTTATAATTTTAATGTCATAATAAATCAGTATTATAAAGAAAAAACAAAAAGAAAAAAAAAGACTTTAGTTTAACGCTAGTGAAAACAGACCCTTTGGTTTATCTCTATAAAAAAAAAAGACTTTAGTATTATCAATTGTTGAATCGTCTATGTAATCTTTTTAATAATTCTAATGTTATAATAAATAAGTATTGTCATAAGAAGAAGCAAAAAGAAAAAAAAAAAAAAACTTTAGTTTAACGCCGGTGAAAACAGACCCTTTGGTTTATCTCTACAAAATTAACGGAAGTTGCTACATAAACTAAACCAGGTTCTGTTATGCATTACTCTTATACATCTGTACTGAGTTAATTTTGACCTGGCAAGTGGCAAGTGACAAAAGATAAGACAGCAGCAAGAAACACAATATTGCTTAGTAATCATTACCACTAGCCAGTCGAGACCCCCACACACAGCAGATATAATCTTGGTCTCTTGCACATATTATTAGTATTTTATTTATGAATAACCTTTTGTGGCGGCTAAGTGTTTATCTCAACCCCACACATTCTCTGTTTCCTCGAAACTTCATCTTTATTCTTTGTCAAGACGAAACAAAATGAACAAACTCTTATATAAATATTTCCACATGTCTCACCTTGTGTTCATTTGAAACTTCCTTTTACTTTCTCTTGTTACTTCTGTTACGTTGACCAAAGTTCTCTCTCTCCTCCCTCTTTTTCAATCTTGATCTTAAGTGAGATTTTTGATCCTTTCATGGATACTATTCTTCAAGTACCCGCTGATGGGTTCAAATTCGAGAACACTTCTGGATCTTGCTGCAAACCAAGGAATAATTCTGACTCGGGCACCACTCGTTTCACCTGTTTCTATGAATCCAAGAACCCTTCTCCGACCGAATCTACGGAATGTTCAGAGTACCATCCTGTTTTGAAGTACATAAATGACATGTTGATGGAAAAAGATCTTGAAGGACAGTCTTGTATGTTGGAAAACAGTTTGGCTTTACAAGCCGCAGAGGCATCTTTCTTCGAAGTGCTTCAGGAGGGTCAAAGTCCTCCGTCAATGACGAGCTTACTTCAACCAACCTCAGATTACACTGCATTGCCTGATATCTCAGAAGAATCAACAAGAAGGTGCCGCCTACGAGATGATGAGGAAGAAGATGATCCTGAAGGTGGAAGGAAATCAAAGCTCCCTGCAGTTTCAAAGGTGGATGAGCTAGCAGAAAAGATGGAGCAAGTTTTGTTGGTCTGTGAAAACAATAATCATGGAGAAGCAACACCGAACAAACCAGGACGAGCAAATGGATCATCAGACAGATCCAAGCCTCAAAAGCTAGATCGGACAGTGGATATGCGGAGTCTCCTAATGGAATGCGCTCAAGCAGTAGCTAGCTTTGACCATAAAAGAGCAGCTGAGAAACTGGAGGAGATAAGAGCACATTCTTCTAGCCACGGTGACGCAACTCAGAGACTTGGTTACCATTTCGCCGAGGCTCTTGAAGCACGTATCACTGGAACCATGAAGACACCTCTATCTGCTACATTTAGCGGAACATCCATGTTTGACATTTTGACGGCCTACAAGGAGTTTGTTCAGGCTTGTCCGACCATGATAATGTGTTATTACACTGCAAACAGAACAATAATTGAGCTTGCGTCCAAAGCAACCATACTTCACATCATTGACTTCGGTATTTTCTATGGGTTTCAGTGGCCTTGCATGATAAAGGCCCTGTCTAGACGTCCCGGTGGACCACCAATGCTCCGTGTGACCGGAATCGAGCTGCCCCAGCCAGGTTTCCGCCCATCAGAGCGTGTAGAAGAGACCGGGCGAAGACTGAAGCGGTTCTGTGACAAGTTTAATGTCCCGTTTGAGTACAACTGCATAGCCAAGAATTGGGAGACCATAACTCTTGATGAGCTGGTGATCAATAGTGGAGAGACAACAGTTGTTAATTGCATCCTTCGCCTGCAATATACGCCTGATGAAACCGTGTCCCTAGACTCTCCAAGAGACACAGTTCTGAAACTATTCAGAAATATCAATCCTGACCTCTTTGTGTTTGCAGAGATACATGGTATGTACAACTCTCCCTTCTTCCTAACAAGGTTCAGAGAAGCTCTGTTTCATTGCTCGTCACTCTTTGACATGTTTGAGACCACCATATCAGAAGAGAACGATTGCAGGACCCTGGTGGAAAGGGAGTTAATCATAAGGGATGCGATGAGTGTGATCGCCTGTGAAGGGCCTGAGCGGTTTCCGAGGCCTGAGACCTATAAGCAATGGCAGGTTAGGATACTGAGAGCCGGGTTTAGGCCAGCGAGACTAAACAAACAGATCATGAAGGAAGGGAAGGAGTTGATCAGAGAACGTTACCACAAAGATTTTGTGATCGACCATGACAACCACTGGATGTTTCAGGGCTGGAAAGGAAGAGTCATCTATGCTTTTTCCTGCTGGAAACCTGCAAAGAAGCAATAAACTATTCTGTAATCATTTGAAATTTTGTCAGCTCTTCATATCTTTTTTCTTTTTGTTTCACAATGTTTTTGTGTGTAGAGGTGTTGGATCTTGCTATCACATATCTATGGAATGAGTTCCTCTTTTCTTTTTTCAAGTAATATGGCAACCTAGAATCCACCCCCTATAATTATTTTTAACTAACTAAAACAATGATAGCTAAATAGCCCTAATATCTTTTAGAAGTTAACATATCCCTTATATATTATTTGTGAAATCATTTTGACACGTCTTATTACCACAATCAGTTTCACCAAAAAATAATGACATGTCCACTAATAATAATGACATGACCCTGAATTATTTATGATATATACATTTACATTTGAAGTTAATATATATTATTGCTAAGCTTTTAGAATATGGTAATAATTCATAAATTATCATTAACATAATTAATAATATAATAGTAAAACTATAAATATAATAATATTTACAAATTTTGATATATTTTTTAAGTCTATTTTTACAAATATATTTTTTTTTAAAAAAAATTCAAAATTTTATGTAAATTTTTTCAAAATATAATTTTCTAATCCCAATACCATTAACTTTATTTATAAATCTATAAATTTTAGAAATATTATTTAATATTATATTTTAATAATTATATATTTAACAAAGTTTTCTCTTAATTGTATAGAATCTGATTAACAAAAAGATATAAGATACATATATGTTATTAAATATAAATTTAAAAATTCTCTAGAATCCTTGCTTTGTGTCTTATTGCATCATCATTTCGTTGCTTGTATTTCTCCTTTCTGATCTTCTCGAACTATACAGTAAATGAACATCAAGCTTTTTATTTTATAAATTAGGCTTGGGTATTTTACCCGGATCCGAAGATCCGACCCAGAAAAGAACGCTTTGCGTAAGAACCGAACCGATCATTTTATTTTATTGGGTCTTGATGTAGAAGACCCGCGGATCTTGGATTCGACCTGACCCGAACCCGAGACCCGATAGAGTACCCGAAATATTCATAACTTCTAGTATATATTATGTATATACATGTGTTTTAGTATATTTTATGGTATTATGAGTATTAATTTATGTTTCGGATTTGGGTTTTCAGATATAATTTTGGGCTTTAAGTAAAATTTTAGGTTTTTTAAAATATAATTCAAATAATCAGATAAAATTTTGGATATTTATGTATTCGGGTCAGATTTTGGATAAAATTTTGGGTACTTTTTGGGTATTTATATTTTCCAGTATTTTTGTGTGTTTTCGGTATTTTTTGGGCTAGATCCGTGAAGATCCGAACTGAACCCGACCCAAAACCGAACCAAATCTGAACCGATAAACTTTCATTACCCCATTGGATCCAACTATATAAGACCCGAACGGACCCGGACGCGGTAGTACCCGAACCGACAAAGTCTAATTACCGTATTGGGTCTAAATATTTAAGACCCGAAGAACCCGAATTCGAAATGACCCGATCTGAAGACCCGAATGCCCAGGCCTAATATAAATTTTCGTATTATAACCGACAAATAAAAAAAATTCCAAGTAATTATCAACTGATAAAACATGAGCTCACGTTAACAGATCAGATATTCTCATCGATTAAAGCTTGTTTTGATTGAAAAGGAATCATAACAGGTTTTGTCTTTACCGCGGCGGTGATGGTTCTCGGGAAGGGCCGACAAGAAGGCTGTAACCGGAGGTGAATGGTGACCAAAGAGTCATTTGCAGCGAGCTAGATCCACCACCACAAGACATAATCAAAAAGAAAACTATTATTAAGGGATATAAGATTGAATTAAAGAGTAAAGAATCGAATCTTGTAGGGTTTTGAAAAAGTGTGTACCTTCTGATGCTTTTCATCATCTACGGCAGCAAGAATGTCATGTACGGTGAGGATAGTAACGGTGTTCGCGCAAGCTGCTGGGTCCTCCAAGAAAGTTGAAGTTCTCTTTGCCTCGAGAATCTTAACCAAAAGTTGAGGTAAAGCTTCAAAAGCGAACAACTGGAGAGCTAGGGGAAGCCATAGCAAGTTGTTGTCTGCTGAGATAACCGAACCCGCATTACTTGCAGTGGGTCTTTTATTTTTTTTTACTGGCTTGGGCAGGTAAAAAACGAGGTACGGTAGCCAAGAATGATTTCCTACCACATGGATAACTCAAGAAGCTGTCAATGACAGCAAGCATCTCCACATACCTCTGGGTGAGGTTCAGGGTTTTGTTATTGCAACACACAACCCCATCCAACAAGGCTATTAGATCCAAAGGAACTCAGTTTTAGCTAGACAAATATGGATTGCACAGCATGTCAATAACCTTACTCACGGTAGTTTCCCCCACGGTCGTATCAATTAGCTGGTTCCACATTGTAAAACCTGGACCTTCCTCAGTGTCTGATTCTCCAATATCGAAGGATCCACAGTTCAAACCAGTGACTTCGTGGAATTGATCAAGCGAGAAACGAAGGGGATGACAGCCGTAGGTGAACCAAAATTCAAATTTGTGTTTCGTAATAAGCTGACGGCAGAGGAGGCTGCCAATGAGTTTGGTAGAGTTGTGGCAGCGAACAACCGGCAGCTCAAACAGCCTACCAAATTGAGAGTTGAGAAAAGTGTCCATGTCAGCCAAACCTTGAAGACAAGACGCTACAGCACCGATGACGTTTTCTTTCGAGTAAATGTTAAACCGCAAAGAAGTTGGGTTACAACCCCTAGAAAAATGTCTACAAGGAAATTTTAAAGCAGAAGAATCAAACTACCCATCCATGGCTTCTAATGGAGAAGATCCTTGTGCGGTTGAGTCAATAGACAACCCCGTTTTGTTAGCGTCAGAGTCCGAAACTACAAAACCACAGTTGTGAAAATTTTAAAAACAAAAACATGAAGCAACTAACAGAACCAGTAAACCTAAGTGAAAAAAAAATATTTCTACTGAGGAACGACATAGACATGAAGGAATCGACGAACACAAAACCATAGTTCTGTGGGTCAGGCAGGGAGGGAATTTTTTTTTGTAAAAGAGTAGACAAACCTGGGTACCGTTGATCTTTTGTTAGCCATCGCTGTTTCTCGTTCTCAGCGTCCACACTGCTCCGCTGACTCACTGTCTTCCCAGTTTTCTTTCCTTTCGCCACAATACCATAGAATAGAAGTCCAATAGAGCTTTCAGAGATGGAACAGAGCTCACAGTAGCTGAATCGGTAGCGAAGATAGGGGTAAACAACAATGGTCAGAGAGAAAGAAAGATAGACACAGATGAGAGAGAGAGTAAAGGTGCTGATTAATTAGCAGTGGTTTACCGCCAATAAGAGGTGAGGCGACGAAGTTAATGGATCGCGCCTCTCAGGAAGCGAGACAGTCATGGAACTCTCTCACGTGTGAAGACTGTATTTTCTCGATAAGTTACTATGGGTCGTAAATAGTCCCAACCCATTTGTCAAATAAAAACTATTGATGACCCGTAGCCTAAAATATAAACTTAGATTTGACCCAATATACACTCCTACTACAAGAAAACGATAAAGTTTGTTTTCATAACTAATCAAAATATGTTAAGTAATCAATATATGTTAACTAATTGTCTCAGAGTAGTATTTAAATTAAAAATCATAATTAATACAAAATGATCTCAACATTTTTAACAAATACCAATACTAGGCTTAAACATAAGAATTAAAAATAAACAATGACATATGTCCACATTCTCCACACCCCAAATATTAAACTACAAAAATCCCTAAATAATCATGAAAAACATTGATCCAAACCAAAGATCAACACGACCCAAACTTTTTTTCTTTTGTTTCACAAAATATCAAATTCCACGCAAATAACGGACTTCCTCTAATAAAATATAGAAAAATTCCCCCGTTGTATGTGTTGCACGCATAGTGAATTTCTGAACAAGGTTTGTTTAATAAAATGTAAATATGTCTAAATTTAAATGATAATTTTTAAGTAGATAACTATATTATAACAAACGAATTTATTCTCTATTTAAAGTGTCTATATAGGCAGAATGTGGATAATACATTTAATTTTTTCTTATAAAAAAAAGAATTAACTTTGCAAAATAATAGTTTTGCTAAAGTTGTCTGATGGTCTCTTCTTCTGTGGCAATATGTTTCCGGTGTGTTCCGATGGCCGTCCGGAAGTCGTTCTAACTTTCTTCTTATGAAGATGGTGGCAGCTTCATTTGACACGTGAGTTTCCTTTTCTGAATTGTGTCCACGTGTCCTCTCACTCTATATTAATCTACGTGTGGTGAGCAAGTGGAAGCTATTCTCTTCTAGGGTTTTTTGTCGTCAGGGCCTGGTTAGGCCAAGTTTTGTTTTTGACCATCGTTTGGGCCTTTCGCTATACTATTTCTGATCTCTTTTATGGGTTTTGTAATGATGTTTAATATTATAAAACAGAGGAAAATAAAAAAATAGCTTTGCTTTGATGAGAGCAACCTCTAATACAAAGTAAACTAATTTGAAGGAAGCAAATTGATACCGAAACAATATAGTAGTTGATAAAATACATACAAGTTTACCATCAATGACGTGTCTGAGCAATCGAACACTCTCAGCGACGTTTGGGTCAAAAAAGACACAATCTAACACTCTCAGCGACATTTGGGTAAAAAAAGTCACGGAAACTAAAGCCACGAGCACAACCAGTGGCTCAATCCTCCGTGATCACAGTCTCTAAAACCTCACTGAAACTCTGAAAATATTCGTGAAGATGATCTTAGTGGTATATGAGTTAATTATGTATTTATCTTGATTTATTCCCTACAATATTTTTTTTTGGAAATTATTTTTATCTATTTCTAACAAATTCAAAGTTTCTCTATTGCAGGCTCCGAGATCGACTTATAAGCAGCCAAATACCAATAACAACACAAAAAGCAAACAAAAGTGTGGTAAACAAATATCTCATCAATTACACTTTAGAAGAATTATCGTCTCTCAATCTCACAAAAAAAAACACTAATATCGACATGAATCAAAAGACATCGTTAGAAGAATCTTGTCGAAAAATGGGAAAAACAACAATTTTCTTAGATTCGAAAAAAAAAATCAGATTAAAATCCACTAAATTTAAAGCTAAGACTTTTTAAACCTAATTTTATTTTTTATTGGATTAAAAATAAATTACAATTTCTATTTTTAGTCTTTAATTTTTTTAACTATTGTGATCAACCATTACAAATTTCTTTTCCCACACTCAAACAATTTAAACAAAAATTAATAACAAATGAAAAATATATATATAAAAAATTTGATTTATTACTTTATAAAAATACAGTTTAAAACAATTTATTATTTTTTAAAATATATTTCAGATTGAATAAAGAAATTTATTTACTCTTTATGTAAATTGTTAGATTTAAAATCAAAAGTAAAAAAAAAAAATTACACTATTAGAATTGTATACTAATAAATACCTACATTAAGTGATTATTGAAAATTGGAACCACTAATAACGTAAATTATCAATTAAACCATTATACAGTTAAATATATAAATACTTATGTATATGAATCTACTGATTATTCTTATACTAACCTAATCAAATTGTGTAATATTCATTATTCCATTCATAGACAAATATATACAACAAAAAAAAAATATAGAAACTAAATATAAAATCACAAAACCAAAATAACATAGGTGATGATTGTTTGCATTAGTTTTTAGTTTTTATTTTTAGATTTTAGTTTTTAGTTTTTGATTTTAATTTTTTAGTTTTGGTTTTTAGCTTTTAGTTTTAGTTTTTAGATTATGATTTTGGTTTTGCTGTAGTTTTTAAATTTTTAAGAAATACGTAATACATTATTTTAAAATAATACAACAAAAGTAGAAATAAAATATTTAAAAGCTACTATTATAGTATAATGATTATTATTTAATAATAAAAATGCATTAACATTTTTTATTATTATATTTTTAAGAAATTTATATTATACTAAATTATAAATCATAAAATAACTATAATTATAAAATATTTAAAATATGGAAATTGTTTATACTTTTTGTAGATAATTTAAATTCTAAAATTTGAATGGCATTTTTTATTTTTCAAATTAATATAATATATTTTATTAATAAAATTTTATGTTTTATAGTTGAAGTTATTGTTTAATAAGTCTAATAATTATTAAATATGAAATAATTTTATTTATAGAAATGAATAACCAATTTCAATTATTTAATATTATATGTAAGTATAGAAAATTATTTTGACATGAAACATAAATAAATGATTACACATTATTGTTTAAATAATATATTTTGTACCAAAAATTTATTAGACATTTATCTTTATAAAGTATTAATATTTAGTTATTAGCTAATTAAAATGTACCACTTTTTGATAAAAAGAAAAAAAAAATCTTTTATTGTTAAAACCAACAAAAATGAGTTTTTGGTTTCTCTTCGTAAAGTGATTAGAATTTTGGAAAACCAGTTTCTCTACATTTTAGGCAATCTATTTATCAAAAAACTTGATTGACAAAAAAATGATTTTTACAAAAACCAAAAGCAAAACCAAAATCTTGATTGGATAAAAATTAATTTTGAAAAACAAAAACAAAAATGGTTATTATTTTATCTATTAATATCATCTAAGAAATTAAAATAAAAAAACTAACTCACCATTCATTTTTTTTCAGAAAACTAAAATCTACGGCAAAAGTAAAATCTAAAAATCAAAAGCCAAAAACTAAAAACCAAACAAACAATCATCACTATAATGTATCAACAAAACAAACTTACCCTATTCGCCTAGTTTATATTAATTAATAGAGGAGATGAATTTGACATTTTGTTTCCGACGTAAAAAGTTAATCGAATAACGAAGGAGAAGACAAAAAGTACTATCAGGTTCCAGTCGTTCTTCTAAAAATTATATACGTTGTTGAATCAAACAATACCAAAATTTGAACATTTTTTTCCCTAGACCCTGATCGATGATTTCTCCATCAACTCAGAAAAATCTTCTAATCAACGACGTCGACCGATTCATAACCCTATGTTCGCCGTCTGTATTCAAATTAATAGACGGAGAAGAGGAGCCACGATTTGGTCTCATCCTCCGCATGAAGGAAACCATTCCCCGAGCTGCTCTCCTCAATCTACCTCCATTACCGGAGCGAGCACCGTTTCTGCTAATCTCCGGTGTCCCGTGATCCCTAACCCACGAGATTCGTCTCGGGCCCTCGTTACTCCCTAGCCCACCACCGTCCACTTCCGTCAACACCACCGGCAAAACCCTCTCCTCTTCTCTCATCGCCGCGTTAAACCTTCCAACAGCGAATCCACCGCCGGGAAGTCTCCAGATCGTCATCCCAACGGCGTGTTCTTCCTCGTTACTCCTTTGAATCGGGTCCGAAGGCAATTCGAATCGACAAACAGGGCAGGAGTTCCGTATCGAAAGCCAAGGAACGATGCAATCGCCGTGAAAAATGTGTTTACACGGCATCTCACGCCCTTCCACTCCAGCCTCGAAAACCTCCGTGCACACAGCGCAATTCGCCTCCGCTTTGGTGTGACATTCTCCGATCTCAACTCGAGGTAAAGATTCAATCGCTGATTTCGACGCCGGAGGGTTCCCTGATCTACCGATTCCGTTACCCGACGCTTCGATCTGGCTCAATTGCTCAAGCAACCTCTCGAATCCAGATCCCATCAAGATCTCGGATACAGAATCCGGAAGCGGCCTAAGACCCGAACCGGATCCATCGTCGTAATAGAATTCATAAGGGCGTCGATCTCTACTATCTCCTTCCTCGTTCTCAACTCTCTCCCCGCCGGCTCCACCGTGTAAGACGATTACCGGGTTAAACGAAGTGCGGCGGTTGGATCTCCGCCGTCTGATTACAGATCTATGACTATCTTCGATCTGAGACACAGGAGTCGTCGCTGGTGCTTCTGCAGCGGAAGAATCTTCAACCTCTTCGATGAAACCACCGTTGCAATAAGGACACAAGAGGTAGCCGGAGTTAGCGTCTTGGCCGGTTGAAACACTGATGAAACGCGTGCAACTGTAACACCAATACGACGACGTTGTTCCCGTCGTCGTCGGGGCTTCTGTTGTTGTCGCCGACCTAGAAGGCATCATAGCTTTAAAGTTGTGTTGCTGATGAATGGATCTGATAATGATGAGTGAAGGAGGAAGAAAAATCGTTTTGCTTATATAACGCTGGTTTTTTGTAGGTGACTGTTAACGGCGTTATATTAGACGGTTATTACACGTGACAATGTTGTATGACTGTGATGATTACGGAGTTATTAACGGTGGTTCTAGAGTGAAAGAGCGTCATTAACGTGTGCGAGATACTTGACGCCAAATGTGAAAACCGAAAGAAAACGCTGCGAGCTTTCGCAGAAGTTTCCGTGGGACCCACCAAGGTCTCTCTTTTATTATTTTCCTTGGGTAACACAAAACGTAGTCGTCTCAGGGTGAGTATGCTTTAGTAAAATAAATAAAATAAAGTACGCTATAGTTTAGGAGTATTAAAAAGTGTTAATCTTTGATGTGGAATGTACTAGATCTTTGAAATGTGGAAAATGATATAAATATGTACTATGTTTTCATAACGATCAACAACATATGTTGACATTTGGTAAATGTAATTACAGAGACTATATGCTCTCTGATTTAACTTTTCTTCGGTCAACTAAATGCTTTCCTCGTTAACCAAAACATGACTTTGTGAAAGTATACGAGTTGTTTTTGTCAGCGAACTATCAGTTTATATACGTACATACTATGTAGTCACTTTACGGTGGACCCACGTTTGCTAAGGCATATTCGTTCGCACGTCGCTCATCATCTTTAGGACACACAAAGGTTCATTTTAGGCCTGAGTAATACTATCCATAATCTAGAACCAAACCCGAACCAAAAAAATCTGAATCCGGCCAGTTATAGATCTATCAAAATACCTGATCAGTTATGATATGCTGATACTTGGTTATCGGATATGGGTTTGGTTTAATTCAAAATAAAATTTAAAATAACCAAAGTATATGTATTATGTAGATAAATATTAAGTATATACATGTATTACACAAATCCACAATTTCCAAAACATGTTTTATTATTTTCAAAGTTTGAGAGACATGTTACTTAGTTCTTATCAGTTCATCTTATTTAATAAAGTTTGTGCTGCTACAAGATTATATATTATGTGAATTTTCATATTTCATTTATCACAGTGATTAATTTGTAAATATTTGTCTAATGTCATCGTTTAATAACATAGAAGACATAACAATTTCAGTAATTTCTACATATTTATAAATCTTCAGATCTTGTTCTACTTTGTTAACATCATAAAAATGAGTATCAATAAATCAAATCTCAACAGTTGTGGTTCATAAATTTAAGTTAAGTGTCTTATGTTTATTTGTTTTCTTTGAACTTTACTTCTGTTAATCCGAAACCGATAAACCATAACCCGAACCCAAACCAAAACCGATGTGTTATATCTGATCCCGATCTGAATTTAAGAATTTCTTAAAATGGGACCTAGGAAGTGTTACGAAAAAGAATATACCCGACCCAAACCCGAATGAGTACCTGAACGCTGAGGCCTAGTTCATTTGTTCTTTTTGAGATTGTAGATTTTGGGTTTGATTGGGCTTTTTAAGGTTTTAAAGGAATTTTTTTTTGTCAAAGATGTTTTGTGATTTATTAATTCTCATACTAAAATTTTGATCTCCCTAAAATGTAAAATTTTTTGTTAGTTTACAAAAATATTATAATTTGTATATTTTATAATCTTATTTAATAAGTCACATATTGTTCTAATCAATGTTATTTTTAAAAATTATAATAATATTGTCATTTGATAAACTATTTTGCCAATTGAAGAAAATGTTTATAAGAGATCTTCTTAATGACGTAAGGAATAACATCATGAATGGATCTCATAAGGTGGTTTAGGGTGATGTAGTTAGACATAAATCCTCATAAAACATGTAAAATTACTAAACATATTCGTTATAGTGTTTTATTGGTCTCAAGAGTAAGAGTACAACATATTGGTGTAAGTCTTAGTTTTACTTGTATGTCTTTTGGTCGAAGTGTTTCAAGTTGGCTTTTTTTCTTTTCGGATTTTGAACTGCCTTTTTGGAGTCCTTATTACAAAAATACAAAACAATTTGGCTGAAGAAATTTATATGCTTAAATTATGTACGGAAATCATATTTAAGCATTTTGCAAATATGTTTATTAATTTTACATCAGCATGCTTAAGCCTAGAACTGGACGACACAATCATTTTTATTTCTCAAACGACGAATTTTGTAAATATTGATCAATTTGTGGTTGAGCATATATAAACATAAAGTGTAGTTTTTAGATTAATAATATTTTAAAATAAAACAATTATCTAATGTAGCGGATTCTTAATATTGTTATTTGAATTAAAAAAAATACCAAAATAACTAAACCTAAACTAAATCAAATTCATAAATAACTGAGCTGTTATTATATTGTTTGAACCAAAAACAAAAAAAATTAGAAATCTCGAAATGAACCAAAATTTAGAAAACATCATCAAATAATAAATTTTTGGTCTACAAATATAAATTATAAATATAAATAATTCTACGCAACCGGGCGGGTTAAACTCTAGTTATTCTGAAAAGAATATATATAGCCATTTTTTATATTTTAAATATGCAGTTTATTAGGGTAGACATGCAAGGCTTCATGACACTAATCATATATTAAAAGATAAGAGAGATCAAAGTAGTGTTTTATTGATCTCAAGAGTAAGAGTACAACATATTGGTGTAAGTCTTAGTTTTACTTGTATGTCTTTTGGTCGAAGTGTTTCAAGTTCGCTTTTTTTTCTTTTCGGATTTTGAACTGCCTTTTTGGAGTCCTTATTATACGAGAAGTTTTCTTTGCGTATATTTTTGAAGTTTTCTTTGCGTATATTTTTTTATGGTGTCATGTCTTATACGAGAAGAAAATTAAGAGCATATGTGTAAATATTTTTAGTTGATAGAGGAAATTTTGAAAGATGTTTCTCACCTGAAACGTATCGAGTTGATGTAAACATATCAGTTCGAAGTCACGAGCTTGGTAATCAAATTTATTATGTTAAAGAATTAAGTAATTTCCTAACACTTTTCATTAAAACTGATTGAGATTTTTTCGTTGAGGATGCTCTTAGAATTCACTTATTTCTCTTGAAATGGTGAACTAATGGGTGCTTCTTCTTTCACCGTTTATTCTGGTTCTACGCTCGTCCCAATTCATATGGACATGAAGATCTATAATCAACCTATTGTTGATATATCAACTAAAGTAAAAATAAAATAGATCCATTTATTATTTTGTAATACATATCCAATGCTCATGAGAACAAGTAAATTATTGTAGTTGCTATTATTCTAATTTGTTTAAACCTACTAATGCATGTATTGAAAGCCATTCCAAATTTTATACAACGAAGCCTTACACCTGATCTCGTTATGTTTAACTTCTTTCAATAAGGGGGCAGAAAAATATTTTATACGAGAATTACTTTCTACTGATGATGAGTTGGACGGTATTCCTGTTCCAGCAACAGCCAGTTACGATTTAGCTATTAGCCGGCTCAAAATGTTCACGAATAATCTCTCGGCGTGAGATGGGTACTTATCATGAGCATAGGCTCGAAGCACTTACGGTATGAGAAATATATCCATCCACCATTTTTTCTCACACAGAGAGGTACCTCGAGTGCATGAAGTAATGATGCTGATCAACATACCATAAACTCGTTAGACACTCATAAGCACATAAATAAAGAATTTTGAAAGTTAACAAGTAAGATACTCAGACATCCCTAGATTCATAAGCATTCCAAAGCACAACTAGCAATTCCAAATACATTAAAACAAAATTGCAATGGTTATACATCAAATAGACAGTTGAACGATTGTTATTGATTTGGTTTCATTATCTAAAAGTACTTTTAGTAAAATTTCATATACTTCAAATTTTTGGATTATATTTTTGTTTCACATTTCTAGACACATCATGCGAGGGTGTCATCTATCTATCATTGTACATCAAGAATTATTTCTAATGATGTGGAGGAACATGCACAATACATCCATATGAGTTATTTTCTATATTAATAGACATGAAAGAAAGAAAGATAGATATTAGGCAGCCTACATCCGTTATAAAGTGTAGACTGCAACCAATTTTATCTTTGGAGTAAGGGTGATATGACAGAAGATTTTCAGTGATTATTTTCTCATCCTCAAAATCTAAGCGTTCTCCATCCAATTATATGTCAAAAAAGTAAAAACTAACCATTATGACTACAAAAATATTCATTGTGAAAGAGCATGTACTAAAGTTAGCTAGCTTCAAGTTTTGATAATTCACTACAAAAGAGTCCTCATATGACTATTCATCCAACTCCAATAGAATGAACGGATGATGCAAGAAAATCTATCACATTACGGAAATAGCATATTCTGCACACAACTATAATCCAATCAAAGCTCAACCACCAATTACCAATAGTCTAGCTTCTCCACAAAAGAGTTTGGTAGCAATCATCATAGATTAGACTTCATGTAATGATTATATTAGAAGAAGCTATGAGACTATGGCCTAAAGATTAATCTACACATGGTGATGGTACAATTACTGCAGAGCATGATAGATTCCTTCTAGGTACTTCATGAAAATTGAAAATTTGATTGGAACTGTATTTCAAAACACTAACACTTTGTTTTGGAGATTCGATCTTCTATCAAGTTTATGGTAGACAATGGTGCATCCGAACTAACCTAAAATTTGAATCATAACTACAACTCCACTAAAGAATCATGTAAAGGGTGAAATTCATGCTCTATAGTAATTGTACCATCACCATGTGTAGATTAATCTTTAGGTGTTGCCACCTAGGATTCCAGCTTAGAAAGTCTATGCATCAGAGAGCGACACATGTACTATTGCTAAAACTTACTGTATCATTTAATCTTTTGCATTATGGTTTTGATGTGTACACTTTCGCGAGCCCAATAGCCAGAGTCAGCTCAAGAGCCTGAGAAGTTTCACCTCGCGGAGCATACGAAGCACGTCGTAGTTGTGTTCAAAGACATTGTTGATCTTCTTGATCGCGACTTTCTCTCCCGTGTGCGTGTCGACGGCTATGTACACAACTCCATAGTTTCCTTTGCTGATGACTTCGACGAACATGTATCAGTTTGTGTCACCGTAGTATGTGAAAAAAGTCC